CCTGGATCACACACTGGGAGGCCCAGGTAGGGAATCACACTGGAGTCAGTCAGTCAGTCAGTCAGTCAATGTCACTTCCCTTTTCCCTGCCTTGGCTGGCCTGCAGGGTATCTGTACCCTTCTGCCTAACTCGGAATCTCTGTCTCAGACTAGCTCTGGAGTTACTCTGCCAGCGTTCAAGACCTACTCTGTGGCTCTGGGCATGTAACTTATCTGCTCAGTGCCTCAGTTTCTTCATCTATAAAATGGGTGTTATAGTCCTTACCTCATAGGATTGTGAGCGTCTAATGAGGCACTGCACATTCAGACTAAGCACTGTGCCTACAGATGGTAAATGCTCAAATAAGTATTTGTTGGGACTTTTAAATTATCATTGTTACTTCAAGCATTTAAGAAAATAGGGGGAAAAAAAGGCAGCATGAGTTTTTTATAGAAAGGGCACTGTGGGCATCTCTACCAATAGTCCCTCTGCATCAAGAAAGTGAGGTCAAAGCAAAGACCTTCCCTGCCTTTGGTGTTTACTCCCTTACTCTCCCAGGGAAGGGACTGATGCAGAGGGAAGGTAAAGGGAGTGGTGGACAAGATAAGACCAAGACTTCTGGGCTAGGCTGCCTGGGTTTTAATTCCATCACCGTGTAACCTTGGGACTCAGTTTTCTCACCTGTAACATGGGGATGATAATAACAGTTCTCACCTCATGGGATTATTATGAGGATATTGTGAGTGACAGAATATGCGTATAGTGCCCACTACATCATAAGCTCTAAATAAATGTAGACTACTGATAATATTTCTAGAGGGGCAGAACTGGAAGAGGCCTTGGAGGTCACCTAGGCCTGGCCTGGAGAGGAACAGGGTTTTCCCCTCTGTCACATGACAAGTCGGAAGATGTGATAATAATCCTGAGGCTGGGGACAGGTGGGTGGGAGCTCAGAGTTCTAGTGAGTGGCAGGAGTAGCACCAGCCAGTGGGGAGCGGAGTGGCCGAGGGCATTGACTGTGGAGTCAGACTGGGTCCCAACATCTGCCCTGCTTTGACCAGCTGTGTGCCCTTGGGCAAGTCCCTTCACCTCCCTGAATCTTGTTTTCTTTAACTCTTACCCTAAATAGTGTTACTCATATCTACTTCACAAAGCTGTTTATGCATTTACTAAAATTTACTTGTTGATCATTTCCTGTGAGCCAGGTATGGGCTAGGCACCAGAAATCACAGTGGTGTATAAGACAGGTAAGGTCTGCTGTAGTGGAGCTTACCTTCCAGTGGAGAGAGACAGATAATTAAAAAAAAGATAGCAACTAAGACCATCTGGAGAAGAGCTCCGAGGAAAATGGAGCAGGGGTGGGTAGAGCTAGACTGGGGAGGGCGGTAAGACATTGGATGGTGTAGCCAGGAAAGGCCTCTCTGAGGAGTTGACATTTGAGTAGCAACCTAAGAGAAGAGAAGCCTCTATGGGAAGCTCTAGGCAAGGCAGCCTCCAGGTAGAGGGAATAGCAAGTGCAAAGGCCCTGAGGCAGGAGTGTGCATGGTGTGTCAGAGAGGAACAGCAAAGGGGCTTGTTGGCTGGAGGGCTGTGAGTGAGGGTGGGATGTAGGAAGGATCAGTAGGGGCCGGAGCATGTGTACCATCTGGGTCCCCATGAAGACGCTAGATTTTAAGTGGGTTGGAGATCCCTAGGAGGCTTTTAGCAGGAAAGAGATAAAATTAATTATATATTTTTAAAGGATCTCTCTGGCAGAGAGAGGAGGCTGCTGAGTTGTGCAGTCTGGAGGGGATGCCTAGAGAGGAGGTCTGATAAGGAGTGGAGCCAGATAACGTCCCAGACTCCTCCTGCCTGGCCTGGTACAGGCCTTGAGAATGGAACTGAGCCCAGTTGAGGTTTCTGAGCTCCTGAGAGTTGCATGTTGGGGGCTTGGGTCATGAGCAGGGGGGCCGTGATGCTGTGGACGAAGTAGTCTGTGGAGCAAACCTGACCTGGGTGGGTGGGGTCTCTCTCTCCATCTCTGTCTCTCTCTCTTTTTCTCTCTCTTTCTGAGAACTGCTGCCACTATTACTCCCCGCAGACTTTACATAATTCTGGCCCGGCTCCCTCCTCATTATGTCATGCACCCAAGTGGAGTCTAGGTCACTGCAAGGCCTGCTGTGGTCGGGAAGAACAGACTGCTGGCTCCCCAGCATGGCATCTGGAGCAGACCTTCCCCATGCTGGGGTGAGGGCAGCTAGGCTTATGAGGGTAGAGGTGCAGCCAGGCCCAGCCTAAGCCCTTTGGACAGCTCGGGCAAAGGCCAGGGCTTTCTGTGGTGGGCTGTGACTGATGAGCCTTGGGGGATTGGGGGGGGCGGGCAGAGGGCTACATCTCCCCGGAGTTGGGGAACCTCCCCTAATGCCCAGGCCCCAGCAGAAAATTAGGCAGACCTGATGGCAGCCCCTCCTGCTGGGTTGCTTCTCTGAACCTCAGTTTCCTAAACTATAAAATGGGGACAAAACCACCCAAGCTCAAGGTGAAGTATAAATTTCAGTGGGCTCACGTGGGAGCCAGAACGGTAGGAACTGCTCTGGGGACAGAGGTCCAGGCATGTGCTGGGAGAGGGACAGACTTCCCCTCAGACTCACTTGGGGTCTCTTGGGCCATAGTCCTGGGGCCTGAGCCCCTTTCTATAGTCTCCCATCCCTACTCCTCTCCTAGGCTCTGCCCCAATCCCAGAGAGAATCAGAATAGGGGTGAGCCTCCCCCTCCCCCTTGCACAGGTCAGGAGATTGAGGCCAGGGGGAGGTGGTGTGCCTGGTTCAAGGTCACACAGCCCAGCATGGCGATGCCAGAAATGGAATCAGACCCAATAAGTCCCAGCCCAACATATGTTCTGATGCACTTTGCAGTGTGGGATGCCTGTGACCCTGGAGGATGCTGAAGAAGTTCAGGTCAGAAGGCATGCCTGGGGAGACAAGTTTGGTTCTACTTCTGCCCTTTTACATGCATCTGATTTTTTCCCACTATGCTGTGTGTGTGTGTGCGCGCGTGTGTGTGTGTGTGTGTTTGTTTAGGGGAAAAGGGTTTAGTTTTGCAGTTATTACAAAACTTAACACAATAGTTACTTCCCTCACCTGGCCTCTGAGAACAGGTGCTAGGACCTTTCTGCCTTCCTTTTGTGGAATCCTCACAATACCTTCTGAAGATTAAGGATGATTATACCCATTTTACAGGTGAGGAAACTGAGGCCCAAGATCACATGGTTGGCAAGTGGAGCCGGGGTTTCATTCCCAGGTCTGCGCGTTCCAAAGCTCTCGCCTTTCCCTTACATGTGCTGTCTTCTTCACCCCCCTGGCATGGGGGACACTCCTGAACCCCACGACCTCCGTCCTGTGTGGTGCCTGAGCGTTTCAAGGAGATGCAGAAAGCAAGCCCCAGGCTGCTCTGATGTTTGGCTCTGGGTTCCCAGGGAGAGTTACAGGGAGTTTGAATTCAAGGGGAGCGGGGAGGATGCGGGGCTTGTAACCCCCTATCTCAGTGTTGCTTAATTTTCTTGACTGTGTTTACTAGGGATGGGGGAAGGTGGAGAGAAGAATGTGCCTCCCCCTCCCTCCCTGTTTCTAGAATTACTAAATTCTTGTTAGATCTTTAAATTTTATGTAAATTCTTCTTATTTTCCTTGGAAAGGTGGGGTATCATATTTTAATTAGCAGTGGTGTCAGAGGAGGGCTAGATTAATTATTGGAAATCCTGAGTTCCAGATGGTTTTAATTTTCACAGCAGGGCACCAGGGTATATATTTTTAATTTTTTTTTATTAAAATCATACCTAGTGTATTTTAGGGGCACCGAGGTACGCGCTTTGGGGCTCCAAGGATGCCGTATTTAGGGCTATGATTTTCGTTATGGAGAAGCAAGTCCCTTGTCACTGAAATTAAGAGTTTGTGGGTGAGGGAGGGGCAGGTGCTGGGAAGCAAAGGGTCAGAGACGGGAGGGGAGGGTGAGAATGGGGGAGTCATAGGCAAAGAAGGCAGCGGTGGGAGGAGGTGCTGGGGAGGGAACCAGGCATAGGAATTCAAGGCCAGAGAGGAGAGAGAGCTCAGAGAGTGTGTGTGGCCTACTGAAGTCACACAGCACCTTACTGGGGAGAAAAAGTGGATTGGCAGAGGCACAGGGATTAGGCACAGCATGCCTAATCAAGGGACACTCACCTTTTGACCATTTGACACCCTTGCTCAGTCAGGGCTTTGGGGGATCAGCTCTGGACACCACCCTCTCCTAAGGGAGGTTTTATGGAGAGTGGGTCATTTAGTGTGGGGTCTCCTACTTCGAACCAGGGAATATTGGGTCCTGATTGGGACTTCTGGGCTCCTGGAAGTTCGCTATGTTTCAGCCTCGGTGGCCTTGATTGAGCAAAGTAGAATATTCTGAAGATAGCCTCCATTCCCGGGGGCCTTAAACCTCTCCTCTCTGGGCCTTCCCCACTTTAAGTTACAAAGGTGTGGCGTGGGGAGGGGACATAGAAGGGGTTCTACATGTTTGCCCTGGAGGGAGGCGCCTTTGACCTAAATTTTGGAGGAAGTAGCTTGATATCCCCCGAGGCAGGGTGTGAGCGTGCCCGTGCAAACTCGCATGCGTTTTTCTGTGCCCCCATTCTAGAGACTGCTACTTCTCTGGGGTTATTGGTGGCTGTGTGTCCTGTTCTGGGGAACAGAGATGAGGGGCTGGTGGGGTGGGTGAGGGGAGAATACACTGGTCTTTAGCCACAAGGGGCAGAACAACCCTCCAGCCGGAGCCATGTAGGTCCCAAGTGGAGTCAAGAGAGGCTGGGGGTGGAGAACACAGACGGAAAGCCTCTCTGGCTGCCTAAGGGGCAGGGTGCCCCAGTGAGACCTGTTCAAAGCCTTCCCCATGCCCAATGTTGGAGCAGTGAGGGGGTCCAGGGACAGGGTCAGGGATCATGTCGCTGAGCCTTTCGGCCAAACCATTGCCCCTGGTAAAAAAAATGTGTCTTGTTCTCCTTCTGCCTTTCGAAGCCCAGCTCCTAGTGGAGACAGACACCTTCGGTAGTCAAGTCCGGATCAAGGGCAAGGAGACGGAATTCTACCTGTGTATGAACCGGAAAGGCAAGCTCGTGGGGAAGGTGAGTGATGGTCTGGAATTCCCAGGGTATTCAGGAGGGTTCCCCCTGGTAACACTGGGTAGCTGGAACAGGGTGCTCAGGGCCTTGTCAGCCCCAAATGGAAAACAAGCCCGGTGAGTGTGTGTGTGTGTGTGTGTGTGTGTGTGTGTGTGTGTGTGTGTGTGTGAGAGAGAGAGAGAGAGAGAGAGATTCTGACTGTAATCTCTTCCTTTAGCCCCTTCTCTGCCCCCACATCACAGCCTGCCAGGCCGAGGTATCCATGGCCGTGACCTTGGGGAGCATGCAGGGTCCTGATCTCTCCTGCTCGATGTGGACCCCGAGGGGCTCAGGGGCTCCCTGCCTGCATGTGTCTGCTGACTGAGAACAGGGAAGCGGCAGGCGAAGGGCTGGGGCCGCAGCAATGGTTGAACAATCGCCAGGGCTTTGCAGAGAAGCCCGGACCCCGCTGCCTCCTCAGCGCTGGGCCTCATGGTTCTAGCATTTCAGGAAGATTTTGTTACTTTGGAATAGGCAACAGAGCTGCATGTAACAAATTAGGGTGGCATGTGGGTATGGGGGGGTGGACCCACAGGCCTGGGGCTCTGAGTTTCCCCAGGTCCTGCTTGGTGTCCCCCTTTTTTCCTGGGTGTGCCTGTTTGTGAAGTTCATACACTTGCTTCCTTTGGGTGCTCCAGTGGAAGGTGTTAACGGGCAAGTAGCTACCTGGTGCTCGTGCCCTGTGTTCTCTTCCCTTTGCTGGGCCCCTACTCACCCCCATATCTAACTTGTAAAATGGTTCTGTTGGACAGGTGGAGTGAGGGGTGCAGGGTAGATCCTGATTCTAAGGAGGATGGCTCTTCCTGTTCCCGTGCAAGGCCCTGGCTGGTGATTTGCATTTATTACACGGTCTTGGGAGGAGGCAGCAGGGCCCTGACTTCTGTTTAAGCCATGGTTTTGTTTTCCTGAATCCCCCAACTCTTCTCCCTCTTCCCCTCCTTCACACCCTAGTGGCTGGGGAGAGTGCAACAGGCCAGGGACTTGAGCCAGAGTTCCGTTGCTTCTTATTTGTTAACAATAACACTACTGATAGCTTCTGCTAATTGAGCACCTACTTTCTGCCAGGCACTGTGCAAAAATGCTCCCAAATAATCCCATGAGGTCGCCACCACTACCATCCCCATTTCGCAGAGGAGAAAGCTGAGGCTTGGCGCCGTCCGAGGCACTTGTCCCAGGTCCCACACTAGAGCGGCGCGGGATCCCAAGCCCGGTCTGGAAGGCAGAGGGTCCAGCCGCACTGCCTTCACCAACTGAAGCTTCTGCTCGGGGAGCACAAGAATAGTAATCCGCAGAGCGTGGCTCCGGGATGCCGGGATGCCGGAGAGTGGTTTTAATTAGTGATTCACTTTCCGCGTCCCGGGGCGGCCGGCCGGCGAGGGGATCGGGGCAGGGGCGGCGGGCGGGCCGGGCGCCGGGTCCCCTGGCCTGGCAGTGCGTTTCCTGTGGCGGCGCAGCCCGGCCCCGCGTCAGGCGCTTTGTTCTCCTGCCCGCCCGGGCCGCCTCCCAGGCCCAACCTGCCTGCGGCTGGACGCTCGGCTTCCTTGCCTCGCGGCTTGCAGGGGGGGCGCGCGGCAGCCCGCCGTGCCCGGTGCCCGCGCGCCCCCCCTCCGGTCTGCGCGCTTCCCGGCAGCTTGAGCCCAGGGGGGCCGCGCTGGGGTCAAAAGAGCAGCCCCGCTCCCCGCCGCCGGCCGCCCACCGCCCGCCCGCCCGCCCGCCCGCCGGCTGGCCGCTGAGTCACCGCTTCCACAGGAGCCGGCTCCGATTTCCTGCCCCCTCGCCCTCTCTCCCGTCATTAATATTGGGGACGGTTCAGCTGGCGCTGGCTCGGCCAGGCTCGGCGCAGCCCGGGGAGGGCTCCCTCCTTCCCGCCCCCGCTCGCGGCAGCTCCCCCATCCCCGTACAGGCGCGCCCGTCTTCTGGGCTGGCCCCCAAATCCACCTGCCCCAGGATGGCCCTGGGCAGGCCCCCTGTTGCCCTCCGCCTAGCCCAGCTCCCCTCACTGTCTCTGGTCCCGGTAGCTAGGAGCCACAGGCTCTTGGGGTGCTGTTTCATCACAGCCTCCAAGGTCCTGGGGTTACCCCTGCGTTGTTCTTCATTGCTGCCACTGCCTCTATTGTGGCCTCATCCTTTCACTGGAACTGTCGCCCCAGCTGCCTCAGGAGTCCCAGCCTCAGGCTTTCGCCTTTGCCCACTACCCACCATCAGCTTTCTAAAGCGCATCCCCTGTCTTCCACCCCCAACCCATCTCAGAACCCATCCGTGGGTCCACACCGTCTACCATCTACCAGAGAAAGGCCACACTCCCTGAGGAGACACACAAGGCCCTGGGGAGAGTCCCTGGCCTCACAGCCCTGCCACCCATCCTCCAGTTCCTTCAGCCCCCGACACATGGCACTGCCAACTGCCGATCCCTGGGCAGGGCGTTCGGGCTTTGTACATGCTGATCGCCCCTCCCTCTGTCCATCTGCCCTAAGTCCTGCGCAGCCTTCAGCAGCTTCTGGCCTCCCCCACCCCTCATACAGCACACCTGCCCTGGAGCCCATAGTCCCTCACACGGTCCTCTGTTGCCTGTCGCTAACCTGAGTTGTCACTGTTTGTCTGTGTGCCTACATCTCGCAACTCGACTGAGGGCTCCCGGAGGGCTGAGTCCGGATCCATCCATCCATGCTCTGTGTACCGGGCCACAGAGCTGCAGAAGCACCAAAGAAGTAGAAAAATGGTTCTTGCTTTCTGAGGATTGTCTTAAGCCACAGCTAAAATTATTCATGTCGGGCCAGGACGTCAAGTGCCCTAACTGCTGAGCCTCGGTGTCCTCTTCTGTACAATGGCAATGATAATGCTGGCATCTGGTGGGCACTTGATAAATATGCATTCACTTCCCCTTTGAAGCCAGGCCACAAAGTTACTCCTTCACCTGTGGAAACCCTTGACCTCAGCTTAGGCTCTGACTCCTTTGCAGGGGCCTAACAGGATAGCTTTCTTGGGTGGTCTTGACCCTGGGTGCCAGCCTTGCGCCTCTTTGGCCCTACATGCATCGAACCCCACCAGAGCCTTTTCAGATGTTCTGGGCCCCTGGCTGTAGCTCTGCTGAACTATGACAATCATATACCAAAGCTCTGCCCTGCGCCCCTGCATGCTCAGGTAGCCCCCTTCCCTTTGCCACCTTTCTGGACCCCACATCTCTCTGGCCCGGGAGGAAGCACATCCTTTCATTCCATAAACAGTTGTTGAGTATGGAGCACTATGTGCTAGGCATCCCCCCCCTCCCCCAGTCTCTGAGGATTCACCCCAGATTGATCATTTTCTGATCTGCCCCCACCTGAGTGATCACTGGTGAGCCCTCCTTGGGGCAGCACAGGGGCACCCCAGACCTTTCAGGGCAGAGGGGTCCCCTGCCCACCACCACATCTTTGTGAAGACTGCTTTGGTTGTAAACGACTGAAGCCCAACTCAAAATGCCTTAAGCAAAAAAGGGAATTTTTTGGCTCACATAACTACAAATGTCCAGGGGGTAGTTCTAGTTTCAAGTAAGACGGGATCTAGGGGCCAAATGATGTCATCAGGATTCAGTCTTCAGATCAAATAGAAGGAATAGGACTCCAGTTTGGAAAGGAGGAGATTAGAGGTTGGAGGTGGGGGTGGGGGTGGGGGAGAGATGCTCAAATTCTACTTAATCACCAAAGTTCTGCGATGGGATATTCACTCACTCTGTAAATACTGATGGTCTGCCTTGCCTGAACCCATTGCGTCAGCATTTTTGGGGGTGAGGCCCAAGCACAGGTGTTTTTTTGTAAATCTTTGCAGGCAATAAACAGGGTCATAGAGGTAGTCAGGAACAGAGGTGAGGGTCAAGGCCAGGTGTGGCCTGCCAGTAGCTTCGAATCTGCTGTGTCTGAGCTCATGGGCGGGGGGGGGGGGGGGGGGGGGGGGACGGTTCCTGTGACCATCACGGGTACTGTGGCTCCTCCCAAGGGGCTCCCGAGCTCTGGGGTGCTGGGAATTTTAGCCCTCATAAATACACCCAGACACACACAAACAGTGCCAGGCACTGTGTTTGCTCCTTGCATGTCCGAGACCTTGCTTCATGCTGATGGCGGCCGCGTGGGCCTGGGGAGGGGAAGTAGTTTTGACAGACAGCGCCCTGCCCTCTCTTCCACACTCTTTCTCCTCATGGACCTCTCTGGAACTGGGCAGAGGAGAAAGGAGCTGCAGTGGCAGATGGAGGTAAAAACGTGGCTCTGCCTCTTACAGGTCCCGTGACCTTGGGCAAGCCGTTTCGCCCTCTTTGAACTCTGTTTTCTTCTAGCAGGGAGAGTCTACCTGAGCAAGTTCAGAGGATTAAATGAAATAATGCACGTGGAGATGTCGAGCCTATAACTGACAAGCAGGAAATGCTGAATGAGCGAGTGAATGAAGGAGTAGGGAGCCTAAGTGGCCAGGCCGGGAGCTCTGGTCCTCTACCTGCTGTGTGTCCCTTTCTCAGCACACCCCCAGGAGGGCCTCCCCTAGCTCACGACGGTCTCTGGGACATTGGTGAGGGATTCAGGGGACAGTATCCACTTTCTTTTAGGAGAAAGCCTTTTGAGGGGTCCCTGCCACCATTTCTATCCCAGAACTCTCCTTTATTCAACCACAAATGCTCTGGGTGCCCAAGACCTGTGCTGAGCCATGAGGGCAACTGACAGGTGGTCCTGACCTCCTGAAGCTCTTGGGCTAATGAGGAGGCAGGGAGATATGGGATTGCTCTGTTGGGGAGCGGGAGGAGGAGTGGGTGCCAAGGGGGAGAAGATGGAGTATGTGAGTCCCATAAAACCTAATGCTTGAATGGAGTCTTAAATGAAGAGGAGGGAGCTAGATGGCAGTGAAGGAAAGCTTCCTGGAGGAAGTGGTTACTGAAGTGGTTACTTGAAGGATGAAAGCAGTTTTCCAGGTAGTGGCAGGTATTCTATGGTGGGGAACAGCATGGTGTAGGCTTTGTTCAGTTTGCTGTGACTGTTCCATTGAGAGTGACCAAGGGACCTGGGCTTAGATTGGATAGGCAGCTTCCAGAATTATCCATGGGGGGGCCCAGGAGGACCACTCCCCTCTACCTGCCTTGTACATATGTCCCACTTCCCTCACAAGAGTCCCTCATCGCTCACCCCCTGACAGACACTGTCCTCTGGGTCCCACATGTCTCCCAGTCCCACCCACTGCCTGCTCTGTAGCCTCCTCGAAAGATCTCGGCCTCCAGAGAATGTTTTCTTACCCTGTCTGTCCCTTTCTGCAAAGTTCAGCACTTTGTCTGCAGGGCCTAAGCTTGCCCTCCACTCAAAGGTGAACGTTCCTGGAAGCTCCAGCCTGTTTTCCACTTCAAACAAAAGGCTGGAACTCGCACCTCAGGCACCACGCACAGCCAGACCGCTGGGCTTCCAACTTGGCCGGGCATCCGTCCGTAACGAGGAGTGGGCCCAGCCTAAATTTGGAGATGTTAGTTGGAAACTCGAGTGCTGCTAATTCAGGCCTTCCAGCTTTGTGTGCTTCTCGCTCTTCTACATGGAGCAATTCGGCTGTCTCAGGGAGGAGATTCAGAGCCCTGCCTCCCACCATCCTTTGTCCAGCTCCGATCCAGGGAGGGAGGCCAGAGCCATCTGAACCACCTGCTCTTCAGAAATAATTTAGCAATTTCCTACTGTGTACGGGGCTCAAGTATAAGTATCATTCCTTACAACATTTCTGTGACGCAGGGGTCCCTGTCCCGGTTTGGTCAGACGAGGAATCCGACGTCTAGAGAGTGGAATTAACTAGCCTGAGGTTACATAAGGAAGTGTTAGAGTTGATTCAGCTCCTGACTCCAAATCTAGTACTCCTTGCCCGGCATCCCTTGTCTCCTAGGGAGTTCACACATCTGTTGGGGAGCCTGATCTCAGAACCAAAGGCATAGGCTTTGGAGTTTGGCCATGCAAAAACTCTTATTCTTGGAGGTCCCCACCCCTCTTCACACCAAACATTTAAAATGCACCATATCCCACGTTAAATGTAATTTAAATGTAACTGTATTGCAGTGGAGGGGAGTGGCAGTGGTGTAGCAGACTTCATACCAGGTTTTGTGCACATCTGCAGGGACTCCTTTCTGTTGCAGGTGATAGAAAATAATCTCAACTACTTTAAAGGAAATGAGGTAATGAGCTTCAGATTCTGTTTGGTCCAGAGCCCAAAGGCTGTGACCAGAACTTGGTTTCTCTCATTCCCTTCCTCTTGGCTTTACTTCCTCTGTGTTGGCCTTATTGTCAGACAACGTTTCTCCTCATTGTGGTAAAATGGCTGCCTTTGCTTCAGCCTTACATGTTCCTCAAGGTTAAATCAGCCTATGTTTTGGGGGATTATACAAGGGTCTTGAGGAGCACTCTGATTGGATGGCTCAGGCCACGTGCCGAGCTCTGCAGCAGTCATAGGAAATAATGTTTTATTGGCCAGGTCTGGGTTTCGTGTTCTAGTAGAGTTGAAGTGGAAGCCCCTGGCTGTAGCGTACTGAGTGGGGAAGGGATAGATTCCTGAATGACAGTGGGAATCCATTACCTAATTGGCGGGTAGGGAAGGAGGCAGGGGCCAATATGACAAGTCCACTGCACAGATCCAGGAAGTGAAATTACTGGGGACAAAACTTGGGTCGGGCCCTCTACTCTACTGCCCCAAGCCTCCGCCACTTGCGCACACCCTGTCCACGTAGCTCTGCCCCTCACACCCACCCTCCCCTTCTCACCTTCTTTTCTCGCCTCCTACAGCCCGATGGCACCAGCAAGGAGTGTGTGTTCATTGAGAAGGTCCTGGAGAACAACTACACAGCCCTGATGTCCGCCAAGTACTCTGGCTGGTACGTGGGCTTCACCAAGAAGGGGCGGCCGCGGAAGGGTCCCAAGACCCGGGAGAACCAGCAGGACGTGCACTTCATGAAGCGCTACCCCAAGGGACAGGCAGAGCTGCAGAAACCCTTCAAGTACACCACGGTGACCAAGAGGTCCCGGCGGATCCGCCCCACGCACCCCGGCTAGGCTGGCCCCACCGCAGCCCCCCAGGCTGCCCCCAGGCCCACACTCACACTCACAGAGAACTGCATCAGAGGAATATTTTTACATGAAAAATTAGGGAGAAGCTCTATTTTTGTACATTGTGTTTAAAAGAAGACAAAAACCGAACCAAAACTCTTGGGGTGGGGGGAGCGATAAGGATTTTATTGTTGACTTGAAACCCCCTGTCTCTGACAAAAGACTCACAAAAAGGGACTGTTGTCAGCGTACAAGTGCTTGTCTCTCTCTAGGAACGGACAACTCTAATCTCGTCCCCAGAGGAGGAGTTGAAGGAGGAAAACGACGCTCTGAGAAACCAAAGTCCTTTTTCCCAAAGGTTCTGAAAGAAAGAAAAAAAAAAAAAAAAGAAAAGAAAAAAAGAAAAAAAAGAAAAAGAGAAAGTAGTACCCATCCCCAGACTCCCCCTTTCCCAACCCCCTGTCCCTGCCCCAGACTCCAACAAAAATCGCTCTCTGGTTTGCAGTCATTTATTTATTGTCCACTGCAAGCTGTCCCGAGACACCGCGCAGGGAAGGCGTGCCCCTCGGAATTCTCGGCGCCTCGACTTCCGACGACAGACGGCCTCGTCCAATCAAGTGACCCTGCATTGCTCGCAGTTCTGGAGGATGCTGCTATCGACCTTCCGTGACTCACGTGACCTAGTACACCAATGATAAGGGAATATTTTAAAACCAGCTATATTATATATATTATATATATATAAGCTATTTATTTCACCTCTCTGTATATTGCAGTTTCATGAACCAAGTATTACTGCCTCAACAATTAAAAACAATCGACAAATTATTTAAAAAAAACAGGAGGTGAGTGGTGGTGGGGAGCGGGGCTCAGGCAGGCGGGCCCCTTTGTGTCTCATTCTTGGTGGTGTGCGCTCTTGGCTCTGAGAGCTGGGGCCTCGCTCATTCATTCGTGCACGGATTCGTGCCACCGCGCCTGCTCCGCGCGCTGCTCTAGGCACTGAGAACGCAGCTTTAGACCGAGGGATCTTAGCTTCTGGACATCCTTGCCCTCAGAGAGATTACGTTCCCACGAGTCATTGATTGGATGACCGATTCAGGCACATACGTTCACAAACCTTTGCTCGCCATCTCCTGTGTTCTTCGGTGCACTGGGTATTTATCAAAAAACACACCAAAAACATGCCAGCCTCCAGGGAACTTCACTTAGTCACCGATTCATTGCTTCGTTCATTCATTTACTGATGGAACCCCTCATTCAACATATATTTATTAAGCACTTCGCTGAGTGCCAGGCACTGTTTTAGGTACTGGGAATTCATCAAAGAACGAAACATACCCCGAATCATGCTGCATGGAGCTTACAGGCTCGGGATTATTGCTTGAGTCGTTTGTGGAGCCCGCATCTGGGTTTTGCCGGGCACAGGCTGAGCAAGGCAGCCCTGGGCCCCCTTCTGTGTCTGGTGGTAGAGCAGTCAGAGGGCCCAGGTCGGGCCCAGGCTCTCATGGGCGGGAGTGCAAGGAGTCTGTCCGCCTCTTTAACTTCCAGGGGCCCTTTCTCCTAGGTCTTCCCCAGGGCCTGGCCAGGATGGAGGGGAGAGGCCGGCTTAGTCTTGGGGTGGGAAGCAGATTGGGCAGGAGGTTGACTGAGAGGAGGATGTCTCCTGTGGGGTCCTGCTGCTGTCACCTGCCTCCCTGAAACCACCTCCTGCCAAGACTGGCCAGGAGAAGTCCCCAGGGGAGCCCTACAGAGGGGAAGGAAAGAGGGGGGCAGGAGAACCTTCTTGGCTGGGCCGGGGCTTGGCTGCTGACCTGTGTGCTCTCTCTGCAACCCACCTCCGAGCTCCGGCCAAGCATAACTCTTGGTTCTGTCCTTCCTCCTGCATGATGAGGGTCTCCCTCCATCCCGGGGCCCCATCCCGTGTGTCCCAGCACATTTGCTTGGGGCTCTGTGAAGCTCTTTCAGGTGCATGATCTCATTGTGACCTCAGGACAACCTGGGAGGAAGATATTGTCATTATTCCCATTTTATAGATGGAGGAGACTGAGGCCCAGAAATATCTAGCAGCTTCCCCAAGATCACAGAATAAGAAAGCTGGGGCTGGTGTCCAAATCCTACACTGCCCAGGGTGGCAGTAGCTGCCACTTGGTGAGGTCCTCCCGTGTTTCAGATGGCCTGCTGGGGACTTTACAGGGCCTTCCTGGGCCTCACTACACATCCTGGCGTGGGACATGGGTACGCTTGACTGAGGCTCAGAGAGACCATCAATGTGTCCAAGGCCTCAGTGAGTGGGCGGCTGAGCCTGAGACCCCCGGGGATAGTAATTGTGATGGTGCTTGTCATTTACTGAGCACCTACTGTGTGTCAGTTCCTTTCACACTCTTGTCATTTAATTTGAACAATAACCCTAGGAGAAGGGTGTGCCCTGTCTTTTGCACTGAAGGTTTCAGAGGTGTGAAATGACCTGCCCAAAGCAATTCAAGCTAGAAAATCGTGGAGTCAGAATTCAATCGATCATTTATTTATTCATGCAATAATATGTGTTTAGTTTACTCTGTGCCAGATGCTCTTCCAGAGGCTAGAGATACAGCAGTGAACTGAGCAGAGCCCCTGCCCTCATGGAGCTTACATTCCATTGGGGAAAATCAATAAACCAAATAGAATATATGTCAGATAGTGATAAATCATAAAATAGGGAAAAATAAAATAGGATGAAGGGATAGAGAGGGATGGGGCTGCTATTTTAGATAGAGTGCTCAGGGAAGGCCTCTGGAGTTGGGGGGGCACAGGCAGACACTGAGGGAAAGAGCATTCTGGACAGAGGGAACAGAGAGTGCTAAGGCCCGGAGGCCTGTCAGAGAATAAAGAAGGGCCTGGAGGGTGGAGCATAGTGAATAGGGGAGGAGGCAGAGTTTTGAAGGTGGCCAGACCACCACTTGGGGAGTGAGACGGAGAGCCACATGTGATATACCTTATGTAAAGGGACTGCTCTGGCTACCGTGTGGAGAAGGATGGCAGTTTCCAGCCTGGGACCGCCCGATGCCGTAAGCTGGGCTCTCACCACTGCCCTGGGCTGCTGGCTCTGCCCACCCCCTCACAGGCCGCGGGCGCCTCCCACATGCAACACCTTTGCTCCATCTCACAGAGCAATGAGGCCGGCATTTATTCTCTTTTCCTGCCCCTCTGGAGACTCCCTGTCTTTGGAAGATGCAGGCCCAGCTTCTGTTTACTCTAGACAGGCTTCCTGGATAGTTCCTGGACAATGAGAAATATGTTACTGATAGGCACAGTGGACTGGCGGGAAGATTTCCCAGCCACGGATGATGTCTTAGGATGTTCGCTTCACGGAGGAGCCAAGTGAGTGTTTCCACAGTCCAGCTGAGTAGGGAAATCTTTTAGAGCACCTATTATGTACCAAGAACAATCTTATTCAATCTACCCAACAGTCTTTGGGGTGGGCATCTTTAGCCTTATTTTATAAAGCAGGCTCAGAGAAGTGGAGTCACTCGCCTGAGGTCACACAGCTAGTCAATAAAAGCACTGGGACTTGAGCCCAGGTCTGGCTGATCCCTACAGCTTGGAGCTCTTGGCACCTGTCCAGGGTTTCAGTCTCTCCCACCCCTGGCCCTCTCTATCCTGTCTTGGTGTCCATCATCCCTCAACCCACCGGAAGGAGGAGACAGATAGAGAACACATTCCCACGTCCCTGATGACAGCTCTACTCCTACCCTCCTGGACCCTTTCCAGGATGTCAGTGTCACAGAGGGTACAGGGATCTGGGACCTAAGGCACCTGAGTTTATTTTCAACTTGGCCGCTTTGGCAGCTATGTGACCTTGAGCAGTATCCCTCATCAATCCAATTGTTTTCACCTTGCAGGTCACCGATGTAATGTTCAAAAGAGATAGCCGAGCAAATAATTGGGGATTATTCCTGCCCAGGAAGAGCTGGAAGGCACCCAGGCAGGTGTTTTACCCTCAGTCTTCTCTCCATTTCCCTTCAACCTCATCACTTTAGAGAGGAAGCAATCACAACCCAGACAGAGAGAGCGACCTGCTCCAGGGCACCCAGCGAGTTAACGACAGAGCCCATTAGATGACCAATGAATAATGATGATAGTGATTAATAAACACGCTGGAGTATGGCAAAGGGAGATGAGTCAGGGCTCTTCTAGGGAGCTCAGGGGCCAGGTGACTGGCTGGCCAGGTCCCTCTTAGCATCCTTCCCAAATTTGCTTCTTGACCCAAGGAAACAGAGGGCAAGGAGGAGAGGGCTGAGGTTTCTTGGTCCCAGAGCCTACCCCTCTGCTTTTCATCCCCATAGTGGTACCATGTGAGCAAGTGCCAGAAGTGAGTAAAGATGGAGCCTTACCCTAGCATTTTAAGGGGTCAGAATAATGGGACTGGCCCCCAAAAGGGAAAGAAATGGGTTTGATGATAAGGGTGTTCGCTCTACCTACCTGCCCCACCTTTGGGCATTGTTTGGATTAGTCTCCTCCCTCCACGGCCACCCATCCCCTGACCACTGGCATAGGACAGGGAAGTGATGTTTATCGGGCACCTACTCTAGACAGACCCTTATGATCAGAGCTGTACACACACACATCCTGTTCGGGATAGCTCCTGGTGCAGAGTGAGCTCTTGGTACCCTAGCTATTACCATGATCTCATTTGACTGGTACAAGAACTTGGCAAGATAAGTGTTAGGAGGCCCGTTTTGTAGATGGGGAAACTGAGGCGCATAGAAGAATGCGATTGGCCCCAGGTCCCATGGTAGAAAGTGACAGAGATGAGATTCAAACGCAGGCTTCCCTGGTCCTACTTTCCCCTTCCCACTGTTTCTCTTCATCCCTTTGTTGGGACTGGAGAGGGCAATAAAGCCCCAAAACTTGGGGCAAGAGAAATAAAGTATCCCTCCTGGGTGGGTGGGGAGAGGACGTGAGGACCAGGAGAGGCTGTGTCTGGGGCTGTTCCTGCCAAACCAGGTGAGCCTGGGCAGGGCGAGGCAGTAAAGCCCCGAGCTGAGTGCAGGAAGTGGGGTGGGGGTGGAGATGCCCTCCCTGATGCCTGTGTAGCTGGAGCCTAACTAGACGGGGCTGGGATGCCCGGGGCTTGAAAGCCCCATAAACAGGCAGAGCCCTCCCTCCCCAGGCGCAGGATTGGGGCTTCCAAAGAAACAATAGTGAATTAAGTGCTAAAGATGTGAAGGCTGCTCCCCAACCATGCAATTAGGTAGTGGGTCTGTTACACACATTAGGCGGGGAGCTGGGACCAGATGTTTGCGAGGCTCACCTTCGGCTGTCCTGTCCCAGAACCGCCTGGCCTCCTGGCGGAGGTTGCCAGCTCTGAGAAGGAGGGAACGTGGCAGGTAGCCCCGGTGTGCGGCCCCCTGCAGAGCAGGCCAGTGATTAATCAGACACTCCCCCCATTCCTCTGGTAGCTTCTCGGACCTAATTAGCACTTGCTGGAATTTCTGCCCACCTCCTCTGCTTGCAGACAGAGCTACTCTTTCAAGGTTCCAGCCTCGCAGGCTGATCACTCTGAGGCTGCCGGGCCCTGGGTTGCCCCCTGGGGTGGGTCAGAGGCACTGGTTGATTTTAAAAAACTGTCACAGACTGAAGTCTCATTTGCCTGCCCCACGCGGGGCTCACTGTCATCTATTGAGCATTAGCTTTCTGTGGGCATTTTACCCACTTCTTTAATTCCCACCACATTGCCTCAGAGAGCTATTTTAATCTGCTTCCTACCAATGAGGAAACTGAGGCCCAGAGAAGGGAAGTCACCCGCTCAAGGTCATCTGACTCCCCAACTCCGGCACCTGACAGCTATGACACCACACAGCAGCCTCCCAAGGACTTAGTGTCACCTTCGTTTTACACAAGGATAGAGGAGCAGAGAAGTGACCTATTCAAAGTCATGAAGTTATTAAGTAGTGAAGCCAGGATTTGGAACTAGGTCTGTTGTATTCTAGCATCTTACGTCTCCATTCCCCCCAACCCTCTACTTCTTTCCCGGTGTTATTCGGGATTCTTTCGGTTACAAGTGGCAGAAACACGTGAAGACTGACTTAAGCCGATAAGAGAATGTATTGGCTTGTGTAACAGAAACGTGTACAGGTATCAGGCTTCAGGCAAAGCTGGATCCAAGTGCACAGTCTTCTCTCTCTGCTTTCTGCTGGGCTGGCTTCGTTCTCAGGAGGGCTTTCCCTGTAGTTCCAGGCTTACATCCTACTGGCTTAATAACTTCAGAAGGAAGAGAACATATCTTCCCCAGAGGCTCCAGTAAAAGTCCCAGGGCTGATTCTCATTGGATCAATTCTCTCTCTTGCATATCCTTGAACCAATCACTGTGGTTGGAATAGGAATCTCCCCTTCATTCCATGATCTGGAGTTTCACTAGGGGAACAGCATAGCTTCAGTGGCCAGGTGTAGGTCATGGGCCAGACCCGGGAGCTGGAGCTGGGGAGACATGGGCCAGTCCACCCAACCATAAGGTCTGCAAGTTGAAGAAGAGGTGGTTTCCCAAGGGAATATGGAAATGTTCTTATCAGAAAAGAGAAGGGGCAAAAGCAAGAAAAGTCTGTCCCAGTGCTTGTCCACTTGGGTGTGCATCAGAG